CCCATTCCCCCAACCCTGAACCCTAATCTCCACGACTCTTCCTCACTTGGTGCATGCGTGATAGTTACGTTCGGATCTGTAGCCCCAAACCCCAAACAAGCCGTATAGTGCTTAGGGTTCGAAACTGACGGTCAGGATCGTGGGTTGAGGATTGGGGTTTAGACTTCCAAGCCGTTACAAGAACCCCGAAGAGCAAAATTAATAGTTGAGGGGTTTGGGGTCCGTGGCGTAGGATTATTTGAAATTTTCTAAGTAATCAAGTTCCTATATTTATACCCCCCAAACCCCGTTAAAATCATGCAAATCATAAAGGCCCCTTTAGATTATTACCCAGGGGTTCCTTTAAGGATTTGTATCGTCTCAATAGCGCTTTTTTTGAGGGGGGGGGGGGTTGAGGACGGGGGGGCAGGGGTTCAACACATAACCTGTATATTTACTTGGCCCTCAAAAGGGGTTCCTAGAGTTCTAGGCAGTCTATTTATAGCCAACGTAGTTGTGCACGAGACTCATGAGGGCTAGAAAGCGTCCGACACTAAGTGCAATCAGACTGTCTGAATTCCTGCGTGCGCCCCGAGGGAACTGGCCCAGAAGCTGGGCCCTCAGAGCGCAGTACGGGTCGTCGCATCTTTCCGATTGCATGAAAACACCGCAGAGACGGTCAAAGCATCGAAACTTGCTAAACGAGTTGTCTCTGTCGGACTTCGTCTTATCCTACGGTCTTACATATCGGCTTGTGCTCGAAAATTTCATGAGTGAAGTCTGAAGCCCCACACCAGCCGGATACCCGAAGCCCAACACTCCCAAGGTCCATGAGGGTCAGAATTCAGGCTCTAAGTCTACTTGGAGGATCATGGGACTTAGTATAAGGTTATAAGTCCCCTAATTGGGATTATAGGTAAATATAAGCTCCGTTACCTGAATTATAACCCGACTTACTAAGTCCCATGATCCTTTAAGTAAGGTTCAGGGGTTTATTTACTATAGGGGCCGTAATAATTGCCTACGTATACTTTTTGGGGGTCGCTTAGTATAATTATCGTATACTGGGCCCCAATACCCTATTCTAATGTTTAAGGCTTCTACATTACCATATCTACCTGCACGTAGTACGACCAAATATCGGGGTCTTGATAGTTGAGATAGAACCCTTCGGAATACTGATGGGAATGGCAAGCCGCAGAGACCCGAGTGTAAACCGAGCAAAAAGCTCGAACCGGCATGAGTTACGAGGGTGTAGGGATTTAGGTTTCAGGCTTCAGGTTTAGGGTTTAGGCCGTAGCCCAAATCCTGAACCCTCAAGCCCTGAAAGCGAAGAACCCTAATGTCTCCATATCTTATTCCTAAACCCTAAACCCTATAAGCCCTAAACCCCTAAACCCCTAAACCGTAAGCGTATAATCCTGAACTCGACAAGGCTGAACCTCGAGAGCCCTGCGCTCTCAAACTTGCACAAACCCTCAAAGCCCTCCACAAACGAATCCCGGAATTTTCTACTACAACTGCCTACGACGACGACGACTACTACCCTAAACTCTAAAGCCCTCCTCTTCCTGAGGTTCTCGATCGTGCTGCCTTCTGCCGGCTTTGCTGCGCCTTCGACGGCTTCCGATCCTTGGGCCGCCCGCGGCTGCAACGCTCGGTGCACGGGCAGAAGAGTGGATTTAGGGTTGAGGGTTTAGGGCTTAGCGTTTAGATTTAGACTTTAGGGCTTAGGGTTTAGGGCTTAGGGTTCAGCAGCTCCGGATCGAGCAGTTTTTAGGTATAGCGGTATTCAAGGCTTTGATAGAACAGCCACCCACCCTCAGAATCCCATAACATTAAGAAAATACAAAGTTCGTTTTGTTATTCTTTAGCCAAGTTCTAGACTCTCAACGCTTTCGCTTGATGGGTGTCAT